CATGTGCTGTAAGTGCAGAGACCACGGTCCCATCTGCACGGGTGTGGGGATTACTGTCTACCCCTTGTGCGTTAAGCTGCTGCTGGGGAGAGGGGATAACAAGCTCCTCTCCCATACCTACTTCCAGCTGCTGGGGAGGCAGACCGACTGTCTCCACTCCCAATACAGTGTCCTGCTGCAGGGAAAGGAGGCTCTCTCTTCCCTGTAGGACACTCTGCCGCTGGGGGACAGGACCAACTGTTCCTGCCCCCTTTAACTCACTCTGCCGCTCGGGAAAGGAGACTGGGCTCTCAATTCCCTGCAGATCACACTGCCGCTGGGGAGTGGGGGTAGCAAGCTCCTCTCCCATACATACTTCCAGCCTCTGGGGAGGGAGACCGCTCCCAATACAGTGTCCTGTTGCTGGGGAAAGGAGACTGGGCTCTCTATTCCCTGTGTTGAGGGTCAAGCAGTGAACAGGTTTTAGGGCTACCTGCCCGGTATTTATCTACCTGCCGCTGGGGGACAGGACCAACTGTCTCTGCCCCCTGGCTGAGGCCTGCCACTGGGGAATGGAGACTGGGCCCCCAATTCCCTGCAGGACCGGTGGAGAGACCTCGGTCCCATCTCCACCAGCCACCTCTGGTTCTTCCCAGTAAAACTCTACTATCTCGTCCCAGCTGAATGGGTCTGGCTCTGGGTCTGTCACTCTGATCTCCTGCTGAGCCTTCTCACTGGAGTGGAACAGCTGTTCCAGCTCGATCTCCCGGGTCACCAGGTGGACCAGGTCTTGCTCAATCTCGTGAGTGTCGTCCCAGTCATATCTGGTCTCCCTCCACTCAAAGAGATCACGGAACCGGGCTTGTGTAGGGCTCCCAAACTCAGGCTCTGCAAAAGACTCCCATAACAAGCCAGGACCATCAAACTCCTCTCCCTCTGACTTGTCATGCTCGGCTGTCCAGGGCAGGTACTGTGCCCCATACCACCAGAGCGCCTGGTAGGCATCTTCCAGCCACATCTCCTGCCATACCCGGAGATCCAATTCCTTCACCCATTCATCCAGGGGCTGCTCTCCCAGGAAGGGCATCCACAGGGCTAGTCGCTTCTGCAATCGCTGGTCTTCCTTGGGGAGTCTCTCGCCCCGCTGGTACTCCGCAATACCCAGTGCCTGGTACCAGATGCCCTTTCGGACTGCATATCTATAGTCCATGTCACCTTCCTCGTACGACACTGCTGGTTCCAGCTTGGTGCTGTCAGGGTCACTGTACTCAGACAAGCATTGCCCTCAATTTTCCTTCTGGCTGTAGGAACGACCCCGCCACTTGCCACCAATTGTTCTTCCCCTTGTTCTTCCCCTTCCAGAGATACAGGCACAGCTACTTCAGAACACCAAACTCCTGAACTGCATACAAGGGAATGCTCCAAACTCCCGAACTGCATACAGAGTAGCACTCCAAACTCCCGAACTGGAACCTCACGAACAGCTGCTAGCAGACGAACAGGAAAAGCACCCAAGCGGCTTACCCTCCTGGCAATCAGTCTCTAACAGCATACAGTAAATCCCCCCAAAAGTGTAACCGCGGCCACCCAGTAACAGTCAATTAAGCTGCGGTTAACCGCAGCTACTGGGTGGTCAATTGACAGCACACGCTAGCTTCAGGGAGGTGAATTGAAGGCACACGCCAGCTTCCCGTTGGTCACGCCTTCAGCATTTTGTTTGGTAGATAAAATCTACCGAACGCCCTGGCAGAAAGGCATGAATAAGCCTTTCTGCAGGTAAAATAAAGTATTTTAAAAGTCCAGTCCATAGTCTAAAGGGAGCAGGCGGGCAACCAGGCTCCTCCAATGCAATGTGGCGAGATTGCTCTCATCACAGAGGGTAAAGAGCGATGTCTGGGGAGCCACATGTAGAGGAAAGGGTGGTCCCATCCAAAGATTGAATGTTAAGTATCCACCCATTGTTTCTTCATGGGTGGCAGGTGCCACATCTGAATTTGGGTCAAGTGTGCCACGTAAATATTTAATGTAAGAAGTTAGGGAGGCCCTGCGAACTCTGGGATTGGTGCAATTCCAGATAAATGTAATAATTGCGTTCTGCAGGGATGTAAGGTCCGCTGTATGGAACAAGACAGGGAGGGTCTGGAACACGTATAAAAAACAAGGTAGGAGATTCATCTTGACAGAAGCGACACGGCCAGCCACAAGATCCCCAATGATTCCCATGCATTGAGATCAGCATATGCCGTTTGAAGCATTGGAGCGTAGTTTGTTCGGTACAGGGCTGTGACGTCTGGGGTGAGTTGTATGCCTAGGTAGATGATGGCAGACTCACATATTCTTTTTGCTTTTAGATGTGTGAGGTCAGCGCTAGATACGTGGATTGGGAGGAGCTCAGAGTTCGTTATGTTCATCTTATACCCTGAGATAAGGGAGTACGAATGTATCAGTTGTAATAAATGGGCTATGAAGGTGGCCGGGATAGTCAGGGTTAAGAGGACGTCATCTGCATATGCAGAGACTTTATAGGGCTGGCCTCTGATGTTAATCCCATCTATGCCCGGACTGGACCATATCGCCTCCAGCAAGGGCTCCAGGGAATGGTTGGGGAGGAGGAGTGCTCCCTGTGAATAGCAATAGTAAGAATTGTGATGGGAATCCAAATTGTGTGAGTGTGTGGAAGAGGAAGGACCAGAAACTTTTTAGGGCTGGCCTCTGATGTTAATCCCCTCTATGCCCAGACTCCAGGGCTCCAGGGATATGGCGAACAAGAGGGGGGAAAGTGGGCATCCCTGTCCTGTCCCATTAGAGATGGTGAATCTGGGGGGGTTAATGTCTGAATGTGTTAAATGACACCTTTATGTCACAAGCACCAACTAGAAAAGATGCTTGTCTGGATCTTGTCATAACAAACAATGTTGATCTTTTAATCAACATTCAAGTAGGGGAGCATTTGGGAAATAGTGATCACAATATGGTAACTTTTTAAATAAACTCAAAAAAGCAAAAGCAAGTGGGGTATACTAAAACATATAATTTTTAAAAAGACAATTTCAATAAGATTAGCGCAGCTCTACAACATATCGACTGGCATAAACTCCTTAGTGATAAAAACACTGAGAATAAATGGAAACTATTCAAACAAATATTAGAAAGGTACATTTCTCAGTATGTACCATCGGGTAATAAATATAAAAGAAACAAATTAAAACCAATGTGGCTTAGTAGAGAAGTAAAACAAGAGATTAAAAAAAAAGAAAGGGGCATTTAAAGCATTTAAATCAGACAAATCAGAGGCATCCTATTTAAGATATAAGGAAGCCAATAACGCTTGCAAAAAGGCAATTAAAGTGGCTAAACTAGAAAATGAGACATTGATAGCTAAAGAATGCAAAACCAACCCCAAAAATTCTTTTTAAGTACATCAATTGTAAAAAAACAAAAAATTAAAGTGTAGGTACACTGGAAACAGAGTTGGGTTTATTAGCTAATGAAGACCAGGAAAAAGCAGAAATTTTAAATAACTATTTTTCTTCAGTATATATTAATGAGGATCCTATGGCAAGAGATATGCAAATGATTGCTGCAAAAAACTTGCAAATAACTTGTGATTGGATAACTCGAGACAAGGTGCTACAGCTATTAAAGAAAATTAATGTAAATAAAGCTCCGGGGCCTGACGGTATTCACCCACGAGTACTTAAGGAGCTAAGTGGGGAAATAAGTGAACCTCTGTATTTAATTTTTCAAGATTCTTTTGTTTCAGGTGTTGTACCAGAGGATTAGAGGAAGGCAGATGATGTTCCTATATTTAAAAAGGGTTCAAAATCCTTGCCTGTAAATTATAGACATGTGAGCTTAACTTCTGTAACTGGGAAAATATTTGAAGGGCTATTAAGGGATAATATTCAGGAATTTATTGGGAAGAACTTTATTATTAGCAATAATCAGCATGGTTTTATGAAACATAGGTCATGTCAAACTAACCTAATTGCATTTTTCAAAGAAGTAAGTAGAAGTATAGATCAGGGTGTTGAAGTGGATGTGATCTACTTGGATTTTGCCAAGGCATTTGATACGGTTCCTCACAATAGGTTAGTCTTCAAACTAAAAGAAATTGGTCTAGGTGAATATTCCTGTTCTTGGGTAAAACATTGGCTTAATAACGAGTTGTAATTAATGGTAAATTTTCAGGCTTGACAAAAGTGGTAAGTGGTGTCCCTAAGGGTTCTGTTTTGGGACCCCTTCTATTTAACATATTTATAAAATGATCTTGAAATAGGCATTGAAAGCCATGTACCAGTGTTTGCAGATGACACAAAACTTTGTAAAGTAATAAAATGTGAGCAGGATATTGCTTTGCTGCAGAGGGATTTGGATAGATTGGGGGACTGGGCACTAAAATGGCAGATGAAATTTAACATAGAGAAATGCAAAGTTATGCACTTCATGGTTAAGAATGCACAAGCAACTTACACACTAAATGGTAGTGAATTAGGGATAACCACACACGAGAAGGATTTGGGAATTGTTCTAGATTACAAATTAGGCAGCAATATGCAATGCCAATCTGCAGTTGCTAAGGCCAGTAAGGTTTTGTCATGTATAAATAGGGGCATAAATTCTCAGGATGTAAATATAATTTTGCCTCTTTATAAATCACTGGTAAAACCACACCTTGAATATGCTGTGCTAAAGAAAGATATCATGGCACTAGAAAAAGTCCAGAAACAAACTACAAAATTGATAAAAGGAATGGAGCATTTTAGTTATGAAGAAAGGTTAAAAAAATTAAATCTGTTTAGTTTGGAAAAACGGCGCCTGAGAGGGGATATGATAATTTTATACAAATATATTCGGGACCAGTACAAACCTTTATCTGGAAATCTATTCATAAACAGGGCTATACCTAGGACACGAGGTCACAAATTTAGGCTGGAAGAAAGGAAATTTCATCTAAGGCAAAGAAAAGGTTTTTTTACAGTAAGAGCAATAAGGATATGGAATTCTCTGCCTGAAGAGGTGGTTTTGTCAGAGTCACTACAGAGGTTTAAACTGCAATTAGATAAATACTTACAAAAACATAACATACAGGGATATAATTTCTAATTAGTGGGGTAATAGCTGCTTGATCCAAGGAGACATCAAGAAGGAATTTTTTCCTAGTTTGTGGCAAAATTGGAAGCGCTTCAGACTAGGTTTTTTTGCCTTCTTTTGGATCAACAGCAAAAACATATGTGAGGAAGGCTGAACTTGATGGACACAAGTCTCTTTTCAGCTATGTAACTATGTAACTGTAAATGTTGGGGAGGAGAAGTGCTCCCTGTGAATGGCAGTAGGTGGCCTCTAGGAATAGTAAGAATTGCGAAGGGAATTCGAATTGTGTGAGTGTGTGGAAATCTCTGCGTCCAGGGATATTATTGTTCTGGAGATGTGTATGTGATTTTCGAACCGTATTAGGTCTATTGCCCTCCTGGTGTTGTCCGCTGCTTGCCTGTTGGGGATGAACCCCACCTGGTCAGGCTCGATTAGTAAGTTAAGGAGGGGGGATTAATTCTATTGGCCATTACCTTGGTCATGATTTTTAAGTCTACATTTAATAACGATATTGGTCTGAAATGACCGGGTTTGTCGTGACGCTTGTCAGGTTTTGGGAGAAGGCAAATGTTGTCAGACCATGTCCGTCGGTCGTTTGTCTCCGTGCAGCATGACATTGAATACTGCACATAGGTGTTTCAGTAAGTGTTGGCTAAAGGTCTTGTAGTATAGGGCCCCAAACCCGTCTGCCAATGGGCTCTTGTTGGGCTTAAAGGAATGATTGGCAATGGTCATTTCTTCCACTGTCACTTCCTCTGCCAAGGCCTGGCTGGATGCCGTGGGCAGGGAGGGGAGTTTCAAGGCATTCAGGAATGTCTTTGTGAGGTTGGAGAAGTCAGGTGAGGTAGTCTGCTGTGATGTCGTGTAGTTATATAGATCTCGGGAATATGTCTGGAATAGACTTGTGCAATTTTGGGCAACTCGGACATTCGGGTACGTCCGAATGTCCGACTAGATGAATTGTCAAAGTTATGAAATTACCAAAGTGCCGAAGTTCTGAAGCACAGTATTGCCTAAGAACTAATATACTTAAAGAAAGAGGGGGTGAAGGGCTGCACTATGTAAAAGAGATAATAAATAATAAATAGTAAAATAATCTCAGTATAAAAATAATCTTTTTTAAATAAAATAAATAAAACAGAGTCCATCCAGCAGTAGAGATCAAATGATAAAATGTCCAATAAAATGTATAAAAAAAACTTCTCACTGATATGTGGATAGGCCGTGTATACAATCCTCAAAGGTTAATCCATCCGAGTTTCCAGTAATCCATATATGTGAAGATAAAAAGCACAACAAACTTCCAATGGTGTAATATTGTAATGAGAGAGTAAGCGAGAAAGGAAAAATGGAGGATAATACACTTACATTTGTTGGAGCTTTGGACCAGCTCTTGGATGAAAGGCACTTATATATATTCCCCGCTAATGGATATGCTGTGGAAATGGGTCCGTCCTTCTGGCTTGGGTTCCGTAGTATTCCGCAGGATATATAAAAACAGTAATAGTGCTCTCAGTTAGAAGAGATAAAAGAAAATTAAAAGAAAATGAAATATACTCACAATGATAGAGCAGGAAATACTGCTCTATGGGTACAGCGCTGGTGGAATAATCCCCACCTATGGATTGCTTTAAGCAGGATACAATAAAATGCCAGGAGAAATAAATGAATAAAAAATGTGTTTGTACAATAAAACAAAATTGGTCCTATAAATAAGGGTACCAAATAAAAGTTTTTATTGTTAAATTACACAGTAAAAAACCATTTGACGCATTTCACCTCATGGGCTTTATCAAAAATGGCTAGAGAACAGTAACCTGGCATTAAACAGTTTATATAGCAATATGCAGGGATAAAAATTGGCGCCTAAAACAGATGCACCAATTGCAAGCAAGAATTAACATAAAAATATTTGTGTTTCCAAAATAGCATATTATAGGATATTAAAGTTTTATGCATACACACATAAAAGCCAATAAAATAAATAGGTTAAGAACAGATATCATATGTCACTATTAAATACTTTAATATCCCATTTTACTTTTCCCTTTATAAAGTTCTTATTGCTTGGTTTTATTTATTTTACACCCTAAGGGACTTGCTCATACTATTTATGAAACAAATAGGCTATGAGGGAGAGCGGCTGACTAACAGTGATTTCAGTGAGCCGCTCATTGTTCTCTTTTGTGTGGGCAGTGACCGGCAAAAACTATAGCTTGTCTAATATAGCTTGGTGCTACTTCTAAGTGCTGTTTCTAAGTGTGTAGTTGGAGATATTCTGGAGAGTTTTACAGAAGCTTCAACTGTCTTAAGAGTTGTGCTAAGAGCTTTCTTTTCTACTGTTACAGGTAAGATTCATCTGTAGGAAAAGGTTACTGATTGCACAAGGTTTGAATTCCTGTTGGTAATTATAAGGCATTTGATTTGATTAAGCTAGTTACTTGCTATTGATTGCTGGTTAATTAGCTATTGTTTGCAAATAAGCAGAGTCCTACCCAGGTGTTAAACATTCCTAGTGGGTGGTGATTTTAGGAGTTATATAAGGCTTGGTGTCATTAGCTTGTCAAATATAGCTTGGTGCTACTTCTAAGTGCTGTTTCTAATATTCTGGAGAGTTTTACAGAAGCTTCAACTGCTACTTCTAAGTGCTGTTTCTAAGTGTGTAGTTGGAGATATTCTGGAGAGTTTTACAGAAGCTTCAACTGCTACTTCTAAATGCTGTTTCTAAGTGTGTAGTTGGAGATATTCTGGAGATAACCTGGAGGTAATCTGAGGTATTCAGGAGGATAAATACAAAGTTAAGATTTGTTAGATTTAAATTATTCTCCTAATTGGAATGGCAGACTTAGTTCAGTGTAACAATTGCTATGCATTTGTTTCACGTTCCACTTTTTGGAGGTTTGGTTGTTGTCTAATTTGTAGACAGTTCTCTATCTTGCGGCAGGAGATTGTATTTTTGAAGTCTGAGATTTGTAAATTATCTGGTGAACAAAATCAGACTGGAACTGCTGCAAAGCCACTGCCGCAGAGACATACTAGGAAAGGCAGATGGATTACTGTAGGATCTGGTAGACTCAGAGTTGTGGATAAAAGGCATTTTGCACAGTCTGTTGCTCTTCATAATTCATTTTCTGCACTTTCAGAGTGTAATGGTGTTGTGGAGAGAGGCACTGAGGCTAGTGGTGTTGTGGAGAGAGGCACTGAGGCTAGTGGTGTTGTGGAGAGAGGCACCGAGGCTAGTGGTGTTGTGGAGAGAGGCACTGAGACTAGTGGTGTTGTGGAGACCGGCTTGGAGACTATGGTGAGGCCTAATAGAAAGCAGTTGTTGTTGGGGGATTCCATTATAAGAGGTGTGGAGATGGACAATGGTGGTCTTGTGGGGTGTCTTCCCGGAGCTACTGCTCACAGAGACAGGAGACGTATCTGTAATATTGTTAAGCAAGCAAAGCAGGAAGGGGAATTGGATGTACTTGTCCATCTAGGGACAAATGACTTGGCTTGCAATGAGGTTTCAGAGGTTAAGGAAGTTTTTAGTGTTTTTTGCCAATGATATACGGCAGGTTGCTTCCACACTGTCATTCTCTGAAGTTCTGCCTCTGCATAACACTCAGAACGACAGGCGGATGCGTATTAGGGACTTTAATTTGTGGCTTGGTGAATGGTGTCGGGAGCAAGGATTCGGCTTTATTTCTCATGGTAGCTCTGTTTGGAATGGAAATAACCTGTACAAAAAAGATGGTTTGCATCTCTCTCAAAAGGGAACAAATGTTCTCAGTGAGCAGTTCAGAGGTTTTGCTAGGATGTATTTAAACTAGGAGGGGGGGCAAAAGGGTGATAAAACATCAATCCAATTGTCCCCCAAAACAAGGAAAGAAGGTGCCTGTAGCAAGTGTGTTAAAAAATGATAAGCTTAGAGTCATGTCTACAAATGCTCGCAGTTTAGGGAATAAGATCCATGAACTTGTAGCAATAATGGCAACTGATAGTGTAGATTTAGTCGCTGTTACTGAGACATGGTACAATGAGAAAAATGGCTGGGACATAGCAATACCAGGATACTCTTTATATAGGAAAGATAGGGAAGGCAAGAAAGGGGGAGGGGTGGCCTTGTATGTGAAGGATAGCATAAAATCTAGCCTAATAAGTTAGTGAGGCAAACAGAGTCTGTTTGGGCTATGTTAGAATTTGGTAATCACACAGTAACTCGTGTAGGTGTGATTTATAGGCCCCCAGGACTAATCTACTAGTTGAGGAAATAGATAAAATGACAATGAAGGGGGAAGTTATCATCATGGGTGACTTTAATCTTCCTGATGTAAATTGGAAAACAAAATTAGCTACTTGTGCCAGGAGCACACATATTCTAAACTCCCTATTGGGATTGTCTCTAAAACAAGTTGTTGAGGAGCCAACTCGTGAAGAGGCCATACTAGATTTAGTGTTAACAAATGGAGATTTGGTATCAGATGTTACTGTAGGTGAAAGTTTAGGATCCAGTGATCATCAGTCAGTGTGGTTTAATATAAGAACAGTGACTGTGTCACACCACACAAAAACAAAAGTTTTAGACTTTAGAAAAACAGACTTTTCTAAAATTAGAATATGGGTAGAGGAGTCATTATCAGACTGGAGCAATTTAAATGGAGTCCAAGAGAAATGGGATTATTTAAAAGTTGCACTATTGAAGGCAACAGAAAAATTGCATTAGGCTTGTCAGTAAAAGCAAAAAATTCAAGAAACCACTGTGGTACTCCGCAGATGTGGCCAAAATAGTTAAAAACAAAAAGTTAGCATTTAGGAATTATAAAAAAACCCAGAGTGAGGAAGACAAAATGATCTATAAGATTAGGCAGATGACCAGAGTATGGACTAGGTCCGCTTACTGAACCCCCCCTTAGAGCACTTTGGATGTGCTGCTGCGGGAATGGAGGTTCTCCCCCTCCCCCCCTCTTCTCCTCTTCCTTCTCTTTTTCTTGACTTAGCTATTTCTTCTCACTTTACTTCTATACTGTATTCTTAATTCTTGTTCCATTTCCTGCTATATATCTTTTTCTTTTTTCCTGTTTCTCCTTTTTTTATCCCTTGATTTTCAAGGGACAAGTATTTTCCTACGCCAGGCATAATCAAGCTGCCGGAGGTGCTGGGAAGCCCATGAGCAAGGGTAGCTATAAAATGTAGGGTTACAGATGGGGCCCCAAC